ATTCTTTTTGTCAATAAAAAACAAAAAAAACTTTTTTGTAAACTGAACGCTTCAATATATGAAGCAATTACCTTTAAATTAATGTTTTTTATGGCAGTAATTTGAATAAAATAAAATATTAGTAATTTTCTAATATTACACATTTTTGAAATAAATTTTTTTAATTATAAATTTAAAAAATTTTGTCTGTTGACGCTGGAGATGCCGGGGTTTGAACCCGGGACTTCTCACATGCGAAGCGAGCGCTCTACCACTGAGCTACATCCCCTTGAATCAGCTGCGTGGCTAAAGTTGTACTAATGCATGTGATTACAGAAAATTATCTAGGGTTGCCAAGCATTTATATTGCACCAATTAAAAGTGTTAACAAAAAATTTAAGCTCATTAATATCATACTTAATACAATAACACTTTTAAGTATCTAATTGAAAAATTCGACTACGTGGAATAGAAAAAACTGTTCAATTTTTTTAATTCCAATTAAATTAATTATTTTTTAAAATGTGTTTGGTTAAATATAGTACATTATTATATACCATTATAACAATATTTATAAATTAATAAATAATTATTTTTTGCATACTTTAACTCTTAAGTATCTAATTGAAAACTTTCAGTACACTTTTTATTGAGGCAAAACTGTTCAGCTTTTTGATTTCAATTGAATTCATTAAATTGAAAAATGTGGTTAGATTAAATATAATATATTATTATAACAATATTAATAAATGAATAAATAATTGTATAATTTAGTTCAAAATATTAAATTCTTTAAAAGTGTGTATTAAGAATTTATGTAAAACTCTATAATATTGTATATAAATAATTAAATTTATGATTTTTTAGTTTTAATAAGAAAAAATTTACAATAACTTTGATCGTGCGTTCAAACTGAAGATTCTATCATAATAAATACCACTGAATATAATAATTGCCTTTAATATGATATAATTATATTATGATATAAATTGTTATAAATGCAATGTTGCATTTGCTGTTGAATCATAATATGAGATTTATTACATTTAAATCACAGAGTTGTTATTCACTTTTATTTTCAAACTATTTAATGATGTTATTAAACAAACCCAAGGGCACAATAGAGCCGACGGTCGCAGTGCCACATCCCCTTACAATAATTAAATAAACCCAATCATAACGTGTAATTTATTACAAATAAATCGAAGGGTTGAATACTACACTGAACTTAACACATTGTTCGGCCTGAGATTACTCAACAGGTCAAATCATAACATAAGATTTATAGTATCACTAGAGCCAATTTGGAAAATGTATGCACATTAAATGCTTATTTCGATCAAATTTTTGGATGCACTAGCTTTTATCTGCTTTGAAGTCTTAATAAATAATATCTTAATATCATAATAAATCTTAATAAAGAATATAGCAGGTACTGTAATACAAGAGAGTCCAAGTTCTTGAAAATAATATTTAAATGATTGTTATAAATTTTCATTCACACATTAGTTTACAGCACTGATATATTCAAAACTACATTTACGTTATTCATGTATTGGATTTTTAATACAATGGTACTACCATTTATATTAAAAACAAAACTATAAACTATTACGTATTGCAAGTTATATTAAACAATTGCATGATATTACATATTTGATATATAATATTATAATATTATAAAAATTTACTTTTTTCGTTTTAGAACTTCTGTGTTATTTGTTTCTATTTCATTTATTGTACTTATGGTTGTATCTCTGGTTTGGCTGATCTTCTACTACATACAGAGGTTTAGATATCTACAAACAAAAGACCAACAATCGGTAAGTAAATATGCAGTTTATATATGCCATTGAGATGTTTGCTAGACCTGATAGACTATATAGACAAGATATAATCTCCAAATTTCTA